TGCATAGCACAGTGGAAATTGCCCATAATCAATCAGGAATATCGGCATTCCCAGCAAACCGCACATGCACAGAAGCAGCCCTTGGCCAAAATGCAGCTGCCTCCAGACACCTAAGGCTGCCCCCAGCCAACCAGCAGAGTGGGGAATGGCCTGTGACATCAGTACCAGCTGGCATGCAGGCGCTGACTGGAAGTATTGGCCAATTATAGCACATGCCAGCCCAGGCACATTGAACAGGAACCAGATATACAGAGACAGCAAAACACAGGATGGCTGCACAAATATTTACTCATGCTCTATGGTATACCTAGCAGGACATTTGCCAACTGCTTATTATGCATTAAGCTCTGACACAAGGAGCGCTTACCTTCAGGATGATTTAATTGCAACCAGAGGGCCATCTGCCGACAGGGTCAGGAAGGGAGACACAAGGGAACATTCCAATGGCATCTCAGGAACGAGGACAGAAAAAGAACACCTTTCTTGAGCTAGCACCTTCCTTTTATTTGGCGCTATTAGGGAGATCCTAAAGGGGTTGGGGGAGGGGGGGGGTGGTGGTGGTGCTGATTCAAAGGTGTGCTGGCATGCTGCAGGAGACTACAGTGGTCAGTTTTATTCCTTTATGTAAAACTTTTATTCCAAAAATAAAAAAAACTGTTGATTCAACTGTTTAGGTAGTATTAGCTGGAGTTTGGCTTTATTAGTCAAATCCATCTAAATTTGCTAATGCATCTTACTCTACTCTCTCCCAAGATTGGCAATGCGGCTGTCCAAAGGTGTCTCTGGTTGAGTACAAGGGTCAGGGGTAGGTATCGTTGAGATCACAGGGGTTAGGAGTGCATAATGCATAGAATGTAGGGGTCAGAAGCGTGTTTCACATGGAGTGCAGGATTTAGGAGTGTGTAATTCACAGAGTGAAGGGCTCAGGAGTGCACATCACACAGAGAACAGATGTTAGGAGTGGATAATGCAGAGAATGCAGGGGTTAGGTGTGCATAATGTTCACAGTACAACCTAAAAATTCCCTACTCACAGTACAAATCCCCCCACCCCCATTTCCTCCATAGTACAGATCTCCCCCAACAGCTCCAATTCCTCCAGTACAGATTTCCCCCACAGGTCTAACCCTCCCAATACAGACCGTCCCTTTCAAGCTCCCTATTACCTAGCACACTGCGTGACCTGCATCCCCAACTACTAACATTCTGCACCTTCTGCATCTCCCATTTTTCTATCTGCACCTTCATTACAACTTACACTGTGCCCCTGCCCCCCCCTCCTACTGCCCCACACTACGAACCCCCGCAGTTCTTATTATTCCACACTACAGCACCCGCTATAGTTCCTCATTAACCCACATTTAGCACCCCCTTCATCTTCCAATACACTCTGCATCCCCCATTACCCCACATTCAGCACCCACTGCAACCTCCATTGCTCCACACTCTGTATCACCTGCAATCCCTATTACTTCTCACTCTGTACCACCTGCATCCCCCATTATTTAATACTCATCATCCCCTGCATCCCCTGTTACTCCACACTCTGCACCACCACATCCCCCATTACCTCACACTCTGCATCCTCTATTACTCCACACTCTGACTCCCCTGCACCCCTCATCACTCCACGCTCTGCATCCTCTGAATCCCTAATTACTCCATATACTGAATCTCTTGCATCCCCCATTACTCCGCATTTTGCATTCCCCATGGCCCCCATAACCCTTCACTCTGCACCCCCTGCATTCCCAATTACTCCACACACAGCATCCCTGCATTACCCACTATTTCTCATTTTACACCCCCTTCTACATATTACTCTGCACCACTGCATCCTCCAATACACCTAACTCTGCACTTCCTGACACAGAGGAAGTTGCAACCTGCTGAAATTGGATAAAGTCAGAAAGACAGAAGGATCAGAAGCAGAGGCAGGAAACAATGCGGTCACAGGATGATGGCAAGCAGCCAGCAATCTGATGTTTGACCTGCAGCCAACTGCAATGCCCAAGGTGGACCACACAACAGTTGAATAATCTACCTGGGAGCGACCCTATAGATGATTGGCCTTTAAAATAATTACATTTTCTGAATTTACTCCCTCTCCAAATCTATGTCTTTCTCACAATATAGCATCCAAAGATTTACATCATATGAACAGCGTGGCCTTGTGAGTGACTTATGCATTTGTAATTCTATACTTCTTATTTTTTTTTTTTTTTATTATTATTATTATTATTATACAGGATTTTATATAGCGACAACAGTTTGCTCAGTGCTTTACATTATGGTGGGAGACAGTACACGAGACAGTACAGTAACAATACAATTCAATACAAGAGGGATTCGAGGGGCCCTGCTCCTTGGAGCTTAAAAACTAGGAGGGAGGGGATAGTGGTAGAAGAGGTAATAACTGTGGGGGATGGAGTAGTTGGAGAGTAGAGGATTCCAGTATTAGCTGAGGGCCGGGTAGGCTTTCCTGAAGAGATAGGTTTTCAGAGTGCACCTAAAAGTGAACAGAGTAGGCGATAGTCTGATGGATTGGGGTAGGGAGTTCCAGAGGATGGGGGAAGCCCTGGAGAAGTCCTGGAGACTAGCATGGGAGGAGGAGACAAGGGAGCTACAGAGTAAGAGGTCTTGTGAGGAGCGGAGAGTATGGTTAGGGTGATATTTGGAGACAAGATCAGTAATGTAGTTTGGGGCAGTGTTATGAACGGCTTTATACATCAGTGTTAGCATTTTGAATTTATCTGTTGGGCAATTGGAAGCCAGTGGCGGAATTGGCAGAGAGGTGTGGCAGATACAGAACGGTTAGTAAGGTGGATGAGTCTGGCAGTAGCATTCATGATAGACTGAAGTGGGATAGCCTGCGGTGAGGTAGGCCAGTGAGGAGGGAGTTACAGTAGTTGAGGTGTGATATAATAAGGGAGTGAATGAGTTGCTTAGTGGTTTCCGAAGTTAGGAACGGTCGTATCTTGGAGATGTGGCGGAGGTGAAGTCTACATGAGTTTGTCAGCGATTGGACCTGGGGCTGAAAGGACAGATTGGAGTCTAGGATGACACCTAGTACCCTGGCTTGAGGGGTGGGACCGATGATAGTGTTGTTGGTCATGATAGAGAAGTCGGGGGGGGGGGGGCGTGGGTTGGGGGGAATACTAGGAGCTCAGTTATGGAAATATTGAGTTTGAGGAAGTGGAGTGACATCCAATCCGATATGTCACTTAGTAGGCTTGTGATGTGAGTGGAGACTGAAGGGGTGAGGTGAGGGGTAGAGAGATAGATTTGTGTGTCGTCAGCATAGAGATGGTAATTGAAGCCGTGGGAGTTTATCAATTGACCAAGGGAGGAGGTGTAGATGGAGAAGAGAAGGGGTCTGAGGACAGAACCTTGAGGGACCCCAACAGAGAGAGGGAATGAAGAGGAGGTGGCAGCATTATAGGTAACACTGAAGGAGCGCTGTGATAGGTAGGAGGAGAGCCAGGAGAGAGCAGAGTCTCTGAGGCCAAGAGAGTGTCGTTTTTTGAGGAGGAGGGGGGTGATCAACGTGTCAAAAGAGAGGTCGAGGAGTAGGAGTACTGTATAGTGGCCATTGGTTTTGGCGGTTAGTAGGTCGTTGGTGAGTTTGAGTAGGGCAGTTTCGGTGGAGTGTAGGGGGCGGCAGCCAGACTGTAGAGGATCGAGGAGGTTGTTGTCTGCGAGGTGGGAGCTCAGGCGGTTATAGACTAAGCTCTCTAGGAGTTTGGGGACTTTCCTCTGTCTGGCGTCACTCCTTGGACATGTGCAGGGACAAGTTTCAAGTTCTTCATCAGCCTGCCTAAGGACTACATGCGCTAGTTTAAATAGCTCCAGAATGGTAGGTGGACTATGGGAGAATAGAGCTGCTCAGAAAAAAAAGATCAAAGCGGTCATCACAATGGAGATGCTGGCTTATGTACTGTATATTGAAATGTCACACCCCAGCCAATAAGTGACCAATGTGCCAATGTGGGGAAAACATTATGAAGTCCATCATCGATAAAAAAGTTAATTAATGGTAAAAAAAATGCATTAATGAAACCTATTAGCCAATGTTCAAGTCACCAATAAAACCATAAGTTTCCAATTTCGGTAAAATGAATACTAGTTCATGAATAATAAGTAATCATGGATCACGGTAGTAGACAACAAATTTATCATAAGAGCCATATATGTGTATATACAGTATAAGGATATGCATTGAAAGTTTAAATTGATAAGCCAGAAATTGGTGATATAGGAATAAATAACAGAATAAACTGGACTTAATAAACAAACTTAATAAAACAGGTGTGCTTATCCCTTTAAATAATCAAAATGTCATGTGCATTAACTCAAAACCAATTCATATACTGTATAATATATATATATATATATATAGTGGCAGTGCGGTATATATATATAGTGGCAGTGCGGTATCCTGCCACGGTCTAAATCAAGGTTATAACCCAGGGTTCTCAACTAAACAGGTTGATGGGGTCCAGGCAGTTTGCTTAATGCAGAGGAAACTGGTTTGTCAGTTTCCTCGTTGGTTCGTAAAGCCCGTTTTGGGACCTGGGGCCTGGAGATTTTGAAGTGATTTAGGAGGGATGAAATCTCCAATCTTGAGTCCATGTTTTCAGAACCCCCAGCACACTAATTGCACAGGTGTGTGCAGGCCTTTTTGTAGAGGCCAAACCATGGTTCTAGGCTCCACCCCGGCAGACAGGAGGTCAATGCTCAGGAGTCAGGAGGGCCCCACCTATGAGAGATGGGAGTCAGAGCAGCAAGGGTCTGCTAGCTGTGTGCAAAATAGCCATTCAGAAAAGAGTCTGCAGGAGACAGACATGAGCCTGAAGTGGAAGGCCAGAGCAGGACTGTATGTATAAGCCAGGAGGCTAAAAGTATTTGGAAGAGTGAAATGCTGAAAACCCCTGTGAGGGAAATCGTTTATGTTTGGATTTATGGAACTTTCTTTTAAATAAAAGTGGGCTAAAATGGCCCTTAACCACAAGCCTACAGGGCACTTATACCCCCTTCCTGCTCAGGCCAATTTCCAGCTTTCAGTGTTGTCATACTTTGAATGACAATTGCGTGGTCATGCAACACTGTAACCATATGAAATTGTTATCATTTTTTTTTTTAGACAGATAGATCTTTATTTTGGTGGTATTTAATCAACTCTGGGTTTTTTATTTTTTCTTAAACAAACCAAAAACCACTGAAAATTTTTGTTATACAATTTTTTAAATAAGTGATTTTTCTCCTTCACTGATGTGCACTAATGCGGCTGCAGTGATGGGCACTGATAGGCTGCACTGATGGACACTGATAGGTGGCACTGATGGGCACTGATGAGGAGGCACGGGTAGGTGGCACTGATGGGCAATGACAGGCATCACTGATGGGCACTGAAAGGCAGCACTGATATATGCCACTGATAGGCGGCACTGAAAGGCGGAAATGACTGGTACTGATAGGTGGCACTGACGGCACTGTTAGGTGGCACTGACTGACACTGTTAGGCGGCACCGACTGGCACTGATAGGCAGCACTGACGGGCACTGATAGGCAGCACTGATAGGTGGCACTGATTGGCATTGATAGGTGGCACTGACTGGGACTGATGGGTGACACTGAAAGGCAGCTCAGATGGGCACTGATATGTGGCATTGATGTGCACTGGTAGGCACTGATATGTGGCATTGATGTGGTATTGATGGGCACTGGCACGTGGCACTGATGAGCACTCTGATGAGTGCTCTGATGATCAGTGTAGATGTCCCCTCCGAGGAATGCCGATTACCGACTCTCCTCTCCTCTCGAGCTGTCAGCATGAGGAGAGAAATGCCGATAACCTGCATTTCCCTGTTTACATGTGATCAGCTGTGATTGGACACAGCTGATCACATGACCGAGCCGCCATCTTTGGCTCTTTCCGTATATCGGTGATCTGCTGTATCCGAGGGACACAGCGCACCGCTGATCGCCGCGCTGCGGGCTCCCTGAGCCGCGCATTTGCAGTGAGAATGGGAGGACGTCATAAGACATCCTCCCAGAACGAGAGAACCATCTTGCGACCGTCATTGGACTATATAGCGGGTGGGAGGTGGTTAAAAATGAAAGCGAGTGGCTGTGTGCTGTAAAAGCTCTACCCGTGATGCTAGTTCTCACACTATATATATTTATATATATATACTTGCAAACAAATGCTCAATAATCAGTATACCCTCAAATTCCATAATTAAAAATTCATGTGCAAACATAAAAAACAAAATCAATAAAGAACAAAATTGACAGTGTCCAAAAACATATATATACCAGTCCAAAGAATTGTTGCATGTAAATAAGTAATACATGTAACTCAATCCAGAAATTAATGTTCAAATAAATAAATTCAAACTCTATGGATAGTTACAGATCAAGTAGCTAAGATAATTTCAGTGATGAAGTGCTCGCATGGCCAGCTTTAGCAAATTGCTCCAGTGCAGATGTGCAACTCTCATGCGAAGAAGCTTACCAAAGGATCTCACACACAGGAGATCTATATGCACTTGTGGATAATGGTAAGTAACTTCACCAGCCAGCACAGGATGCCATTCACTGCATGTGGATCGCAAAACAGAAACTCAGTTATGTGTATCGGTTAAGATATACAGTAAAACATAGCAGAAGTCTCATAGTGCAGTAAACTTGAATAAAGTTTAATAATGGAATGATGCACTTGTAGATTTAGCAGCATATACAACAGTGTACTGAACAGCATTATACTCCAAGCACTGGTGCAAACTCCAATAGCGTGTGTACTTCACAAGATCAGCTCTGACCGACATGTTTCCCTCAAAAGGGTATCTTCAGGAAAGGAGTGGCGGAGTTCCACAGAGTTTGGATGTTTTTCTTTGCACATTAATTTCTGGTATGAGTTACATTTATTACTTGTTTACCTGCAACAATTCTTTGGACTAGAACATATATATTTTTAAACACTATCAATTTAGCTTTCAATTCATTATATTTTTTATGTTTGCACATTAATTTTTTATTATGAAATGTTGGGGTATATTGATTATTGAACATTTGTTTGCAAGTATATGTATGAATTGGTTTTGAGTTTATGCACATGAAAGTTTGATTATTTAAAGGGACAAGACCACCTGTTTTATTAAGCTCATAAATTCATGATAAATTGTAAATTAATAAAAATTTGTCATGATAATCATAAGAGCCACATGGATCATAAGAATAGAAACACAATGATATTTATACTAACGACAAGAAATACCAAATGAAAATAAACAGCAGTTGGTGTAAAGAGAAGAGGAAATAATCTCAATAATAAATAAATAAATAGATAAAAGAATCATAGTTCATAATAATTTATCTGCACTAACGCAAGGCAGACTGAGTCAGATAGAGTGGGTACCAGCATCTCAATAGGAGCTAAAAGAACAACGGATGATACAAAACATCATGATCTATGTACAGTTATATATATTGCGACATAAAGAAAAACAAGGTGATTGAAGGATGCTATGTGACATTTCAAATGATTTCATATGTGGGAAACTATGGTGGTATCTAGTTCAGGTTTTCCGAACCACCTTGGCAGTGTGGGATCTGAACCAGGTTTTGCTTCCCATAAGTGACCAGCATCAGGTGGGATAAATAAAGGACTGGAGCAAGAGGTTGCTATGGCCTGGGACTCAGGCAGCTACCTGATATAGAACTACATATGGAAAATCACTCTGTAAGAAAAAGAAAAAGGCTTCCAAAATGCTTGGGTTTTTTTTTGTTGTTGACTAGGAGAAGCCCTCCACCTGTAAAAAATGAATTTGTACTGTTTAATTAGTGCCTGGATGGCAAGGATTTATTTTCTGTTTTGTTTTACTTGTTTTGTGTGCAACCTTTTAGCTAGCACTGACTGCAAGTCAGAATTTTAATAAAAGATCTGTCTTCTGGACTGCCTTTTTACCAGGAAAGGTGATCCCCACTTGTGCTGACTCCCACAATATATATATATGTACAACTTGAAAACTAACTCCAAAGAGGCCCATAAGTGAAGAGGCCCATAAGCAAAAAATTTGAAGGAAATACAACAGAGGGAAAATCAAACCAAATGTGCACCATAGCACCTAGAGGTAAAAGGAGTGCCGTGATGAAAAGTATGCAGAAGCACAGTGCTAGATGAGCCCTATGAGGTGATGACAGCTATGTGCACTAAATGACTGTAATGGTAATTGGGCCAGAGACTGTATGTGCCTCAATACTCGAAGCTGTGGTAGTACATCTGCCCACACATGGGCCTGTGGGCTGAAAACTTAACAGGGCCATCAGGGTGTGTGTATGTGTGTGTCTGTGTGTGGGGGGGTACCAGCAGGTAGCAAGAGAATTGTATGAATATCTGTTTCCTCCTTAAGTCCTGAGAGTATGCTGTTGAGCTTGTAGATCCAAAAGGTCTCTCTTGTGCAAAGTCCCTTGAATATGTCTCCTTCACAGAGGAAAGCTGTGACTGAATCAAGAAGGCAACATTTGCTAGAAAACTTATTATGATAGGTGGCAAAGTTTCCTCATATACTATATGTGGGGGATCCATTTTCAACGCTTCACCAAAGCAACTGCAAAGGGTCCTGATGGTCCTAATTACCTACTGAAGCCCTTATAATTAGGTAAGACAAAAGATGACTAATCAGAAAGAGCTGGTCAGGAACTCATTTATGGAATAGGTCTGGCCTGGGTGGTCACCGAAAGTGTGTTGGCCATGACTGATGTGGGCACAGGCCAACAATTTCCGTTTCTGACACTGGCATATGGTTAAGGTGGCAATATCTTTCACTAAAAATGATGTATGATTGGTCAGCTTGCTTTGAGCTATCATATTCTTAATGTTTTTAGATTTTTCTGAAAACAACTCCATGAAGTGATATAAAGGAGTTCAGCTTAGGGTCACACTTAAAATTGTCCTAGCCTTTATTAAGAACTTGTTTGATGGGCAGTTAGCTGGACTTGAACTGTGAGGTGAATAAGTGACCATCTTGCTGGATCCTACAATTTTATGTTCCTCTTGCTTAGAGTGATATTTTTTATGAGGCATCTTGATTAAGGACTTGCTATACCCCTTTTGCAGGAAATTCTCTTCTAGGATATAGCTTTGGGAGCAGTAGTCTTCCAACATCATACAATTCCTGGGACATCTACAAAACTGGCTGAACAGAATGTTCCACTTCCAGGATGGGTGGCGACATCTGGCTTGATGTAAGTATGAATTTCCTGCAGTCAGCTTTAAATGGATTCTTAAGCCAGTTCTGCCAGTGACACCATGATATAGGTCCACATATAAGAAGGTCAGCACCTTTTTGCTGGTTTCTTACGTAAAACTAATCCCAAATGGGTTGCTATTGCAATGATTAATAAACTCCCGGATGGAGACATCCAAGCCTTGCCATATTATGATTACGTCATCTATGTAACACCCATAGAAGACAAACCTGTTCAGGGGAAGGGACTGTTGGAAAAGAAAATAGATCCTCCCATTACCCAATTAAAAGATTAGCGTAGCTAGGTGAAAATCCATTCTCCATTGCTGTGCCTACTTGCTGTAGGTAGAAAAGGTTAAAAAACAAAAATAATTGTGGTGAAGATGGCCCCTACCAGAAACATGGCCTGGCGACTGTTAAGCTCATTACTCCTGGCAAAGACATATTGTAGTGCCCTCAAACCTACTTGGTGGGGTATGGAGGTATAGAAAGATGACACATCCAAAGATACCCAACAGTAAGTAGCCTCCCAAGTGTACTATTGCAAGGTGTTGAGTATGTGACTGCTATCTTTAATATTGGCAGGTAGGGCAGATACCAGAGGCTACAAAAAATAGTCCACATAGCTGGACAAGTCACTGGTGCAACTTTCCATGGGTGCAACTATGGGACAACCTGGTGGTGAAGTTTGTTTTTTATTAACCTTGGGGAGGTGATAAAAATAAGGGGTATTGCAATACACCTGACACAAGCAGGCATTTTCATAGTGTTTTTTTAGTGTTCTAAACATTATTTAAAGTCCATCTCAAGGCATAACATAGGTCTCAGCCTTGACAACATCCAAATGAAGATTAGGACAAGATATAGCAGAAGGATCCTACAATACAGTAAAGACATTTTTAGTGGACAGAGTGTACAATCTCCTCCTTTATTTCCATTTAAAAGGCACAGGCATTCCCATTCATTCCCATGAAGCTCTTGAGAATGAACTAGCTCCATATGCTAACTCTCCATAGGAACAAGTGCTTATCGCATGCACGGGCCCAGTGGAGGAATTTTGGCAAAAAAACTGTGTGGACTAGCAGAGATTTCTCACTGCTTCGGGTACAGGCATTTATAAGACTAGGAAGGGTTTTTTGGGGTTTGGTAGTGGTGGTGGTGATGGCGGGGGTGATTATAGTATAGCCATAAATAGCTACAACAAATGCGCACGTACATATTTCAAAAGATAGTCTAAGAAAAGTGCATATCTGCCAATATAAAAAAAAAAAATATTCAGCCTGACTGCTGGTTTTTGGGTCGCTGACAAAATTATTCTAGCTATTTGGTAACATTCTTTTTTTCTGTCTGCACTCATTATATATGAGTAGTGGTGTCTGTGTGTGTAATGTGTGTGATATTTCACTAATGCAAGTAGAATTTTATTTCATTAGCCTAGAAAGGTTTATTATTTCAATATTTCTTCATGCTCTGGATATTCAGTATAATGCAAACCAAACAATAAGATTTTGTTAATGACAAAACAGTCATGAAAATCTGTCTAACCCATGTCTATAAATTCTTTATATAACTTTTATATGTCAAGTAATTACTTTTAATTTGAATTTTTATCTTTAAAATGAAATCCTACAAGGTTCACAAGGGATTATATATCAAAAGGACAGAGTGCGAGTCACGGTCAGAAACATTTAAAACACTGCTCTAATTTAACAGAGTGATCTGATATTTTTTCGGTTTTAATTATGTTCTACTTCTCAGGACACTTTTAGGCTATTCTCAGTTTGCAGTTAAAGGGTTTTCACATGTGAAGCTGAAAATAAAAGACTTGGAAATGACATGTTCTAATCACAGCTGAACAGAATAATAATACTATGGGGAGATTTGTAGATATGAGTTGATCTACACATATCATTGCAAAAGCTCTAGAGTTAAAAATTTAACAGAGAATGTAAAAAAGACAATTGTCTGTATTAATATATACAAGGCTTTTTTCTCTCAGAGAATAGATGCAAGTACTCACATCACCCCCTTCCCTGCCAACCACCCCTGTCCCCTGCAGGAGAGAAGCAAAGTCGTGGGTATAGTCACGGTTTAGAACTCCATTTTGCAAAGGACACAAGACTCAGGAATGCATAATGAATGAAGTGCAGGTCTCAGGAGTGAGTAACACACTGGTCAGTGTGCGACCAAGAATTACTTTCCTTCCCAAAGAGAGCTCTCCCCCAAATCCACAGGGCTTTCACCTCTAAGTCGGAGACCAGCCAACAAATCACAGACACTGAAATCTTGGCTCTTTCCTTATTACCTTCTATTGCACTGGAATCGCGGAAGCAGTGGACGGAGTTGAGGAAGGGCTGGCATGAACACTCAGAGGACTTTGGCCAATCCCCAAGCAGGAGGCTTGGCATGGGGCCAGGGCAGCCTTTAAGTGTGATTGAGCCTGCTCAGCAGCAGGAGAGTTCAGGTGGAAGATGTGAGGAAGGCTGAGATGCAGGAGCCTGGGAGGGGTCCCAGTGGGAAGGGGCCTACCTATAGGCCAGGACCTTGAAAGGAGGATCACTAAGCCTCATCAGTATGCAATGGGAGGACCACCTGTGGAGTCAGGGAAGGAGCCAGCCAAGCAGAAAGCCTGAAGTCAGCCACCAACCCAACCAGCTCACAGGCAAGGTCCGAATGAGTAATCCTACATCCCCTGAGCCAACTAAGGTGAAAGAGCATTCTGGTGGGAAATCTAACTAGCTCCTTATCCAGACGGTTTAACTTAAAGTGGCAGGTACTGGATTCCCTTTCCCCAGACAGCTGGGTAAAGAAGAGGATTTATCTTGGGTCTGGGATGGTACACCAGGAGAGGCTGGAGAGCTCTCCCAGAAGAGAATGTCCTATCTTGGACTTGTATATAGTAGAATGTTGTCCTCAGTTTACTGTTCCTTGGGCATGCCATACACCCCTTACTCCATCCAAGTTCAATACAAATAGCTCAGTTCTTGGGTCCACTCTGAGCACAGAGTGGTAACTATCAGGATTCGCTCAATGTTCTGTTCACTAAAGCACCAGGCTGTGGAGGAAATGGGAGCTGTTGGCTCAGGCTCTCAATGGCGCACTGAGAGGCTAAGCCAGCTATCACTTAGGCATCTGGTGGATCCCTACATTATTTTTGGGATCCCTGTAGAGCCTGGACTGGTTCTGTGACATCAGCTGACAGAGGGCTTTAGCCCACTGTCGGCTTAATCTGAGTCATAGGAGTGTAGAATTTAGTGCACTCCTTTTAGAGCTTTGGACATATTTTTCCTTTAATGAGTAACTTCTTACTAAAGATACAGTATTCCCCACAAGTTTATTTTTTCTATGAATTATGAAACAGCATAACAACATTGATTGGTCAAAAAAACCTTAGGCACAATTATTTAATGAAAGTGGTTTAAAGATGTACAGCAACATGATGCAATTGCCAGTTTAGATTAAAATAGAAATAAAAATGAGAACATTCTGTGCAGCACAGCATAAGCCTGATAGACCATCAATTAGTGGATTCCTTAAAT